GTTCTGAGCCCTTACCTCCACATCTACATGATTTATAGAATAACTCAACAAAGTTGCCGAATTATTCTTCCTCCAGAACAAAGCCATTCCACCACTCAACCCGTCATTATCCACATAAAACAAACCCTCATATCTAAGTGTGACACGGAGCCTTTCTGCATGTATCCGTGCCACCATAGTCTCCATTAAAAATACAAACTCAGGCTTCTTACGGGGCACAATGTCCACCACCTGTCGAACTGTTCGTGGATTGCCCAAGCCACGACAGTTCCAGCTCAGCGTACTCATGAGGACGGGCGGGGCTGAATAGCAGCTCCCGCCATACACAAGTTTTTTGAAACATCGTTCATTGCCACATCCCCATCCTCCGATCCAACACACCCTTGTTGCCCTTACCTGCGGCGCTTCCCGGTTGCCACCACAACTCCACCCCTCGGCGTGCCACCATCCGAACCCCCCACCCCTACGGCATTCCGCCATCCTCCCTCCAACTCCCTCGTCACCACCCGGCTCAGACACCGGCATCGGCAACGGTCTCCCCCCAACCGGTATAAGCCAACTCTCGCCCACCCCTCTTGCAGCACCCCGACTACCCCCCGCCCTCAACTCAGCTCCATACGGGAAGTTGTCCGCCGGCACTCGACTTTCCCGGGCCTTCAAGCAAAAAGTATGGACATGCCCCATGAGTCCACAAAAGAAACAAAATTTGTGGAGTCGTTCATACTTAAAAGAAACCCAACATGTAGTCTTGTCCCTTTTAAGCAGCTTCATACCCTTCCTCAATGGCTTGTCTACCGCAATCGAGACCCGAATACGATAAAAAGTTAACCATGGAGCCCCAACAAATCGATCATCATGCTTTACGAATTTGCCAATGAAATTACCTGCTTGTTCAAAAACTTTCTGCGACGTATAACCCATTGGTAAATCATGCAACTGGACCCACATATCAACCGTATCTAATGGCACATCACTCGGGTTCATCCCCCCCATTACTTCCCGACAAACTAGAGTGTTATTCTCAAACGCCCAAGGTCCCCCATCCAATACATACTGAACATCCGTGTCGTGATAGAACACAAACAAGAAAAGCCCCGGCTGAATTTCAGTTACCTGAACACCCCTTACCGGCTGCCACACGGAAGCCATAACCTGCCGCATAAACTCGAGCTTGACTACCTTCGCTGTGAGAAACCGCCCTACGACGGCCCATGATTTCTCCCCGTCAACCTCGACTTCCCCTACATCGTCGTCGTCCGGAGCGAACTCCTCCGCTTCCCCTTCCAAGGCCATCTCAGCCCAACTCGTCGCCAGCCTGTCTACTGCCTCCACCGAGTCTGCTGTCGCTGTCACCCTAACGCTGCGTTCGTCCATCGCCGTGAGAAAAGCCGGCGTTCGCCGGAAAAAGAAGAAGATATCGTCGGTAAAAACCCTAGGAACCATAGAGAACGAGAGAAAACCCTGGGAACCCATGGAATTACAATTCCTTCCAACCAAACTAAGGAATTTTATGACTTTTGAAATTAAGTGGGAAGGGAATTTAAACTCCCTCCAACCAAACGCCCTGTAAGGTGCGTGAGGGTTGTGTTTAATGTGCGTGAGTGTGTACTGAGTTTTGTGCTTAATGTGAGTTGTTGAAACTTTAAGGTGCATGAGTTTTGTGCTTTAATGTGCGTGAGTTTTGTGCTTAATGTGCGTGAGTCTTGTGTTTAAGGTGCGTGAGTTTTGTGCTTAACGTGCGTGAGTTTGTGCTTAATGTGAGTAGTTGTTGAAATTTAAAATGTGCATGAGTTCTGTGCTTAAAGTGCGTGAGGCTTGTGCTTAACGTGCGTGGGGTTGTGTTCTTAAGGGGTTTAGTTTGTGTGTTTAATGTGCGTTTGTTTTGTACTTTAAGTGCGTCAGATTAATGTTTAACGTGCATCCACCCGCATAACCGCACGGGAAGCCTCACCCGCACCTGATCCCTTCCCCCCCCCCCCCCCCCCCACACACACACATATATATATATATATATATATATATATATATATATATATATATATTAAGGAATCAGGTGCGAAAAGTCTCCCAGTGAAACATGCGGATTAGTCATAGCCATTGATCTTGACAAATCAAAAACTCATAACGAAGATAATTTTTTAAAAAAAAAATACGGTGTCATTGTGGTAATTTTGCGTATTGTTGACAGCTTAAAGGTGCATAATTGTAAATCTTAAGGTGTGTATATTCAAAGCTTAAGGTGGATAAGTTCAAAGCTTAAGGTGCATCTATTTAATACATTTGCTGCGTCGGTTCTACACTTAAGGTGCATAAGTTATAAACTTAAAGTGCGTAAGTTCAAAGCTTAAAGTACGTCTGGTTGATACATAAGGTGCGTTAGTTATATACTTAAGGTGCATAAGTTCTAAACTTAAGGTGTGCCATTTTAACACTTACGGTGCACCAATTAAAGCTTAAGGTGCATGGGTGCATCAACTTGAACCTTATTGTGCGTATGTTTAAAGCTTAAGGTGCGTAGTTGAACCTTAAGGTGAGTATGTTTAAAGCTTAAGGTGCGTCAGTTTGAATCTTAAGTTGCGTCAATTATAAACTTAATGTGCGTCAATTATAAACTTAAGGTGCGTCATTTTAACAATTAATGTGTGCCAACTCAACACTTACGGGGCGTTTGGTTTGAGGGAGGGAATTACGTGGGAAAGAAATTGCAATTCCATGGGAGATGAATTACTGGGAATAAAGTGTGAATTTAAATTTCAGTGTTTGGTTTACAGGAATAAAATTACTGGGAATTTCAATTCCAATGTTTGGTATACATGGGAATTGGAAGGGAATAAGTAGTATAAAGTCCAAAATCTCATTGTTGTTGTCAGGAATCAATTTTAGGTTAAAAAAGGGAGGGTAATTTTGTATCATCATTATCTTTTTTCCATCCTAAAATCCATGGAATTAAAATCCCAATGGGGCATGGGATTTTAATTCCATAAAAATGAAGGACTTGCAATTCCTTTCAGCCAAACTAAGGAATTTAGTGGCCTTTGGAATTAGGTGGGAATGAAATTTAAATTCCCTCCAACCAAACGTCATGTTAAGGTGCGTATGTTTAAAGTTTAAGATGCATCAGTTTAAACCTTAAGGTGTGTTAATTCTACACTTAAGTTACGTCCGTTTGATACTGAAACTTAAGGTGCTATTGACAAGGTCAACATGGATTATGATTGTGAGTATATTTCCATGTGCGATGCTGCATAGTAATTGTTCAATTTTGAGATTCAATTTAAGAGTCTTGCAGTATAACGACTAAGTTTTCATTTCCCAAAATAATAAACTATATACTTTACGATTGATAAACATGACTTTTATTGTTATTTTAATGTTTTTTTTTATTAATTCTTAGACAATTTGTTTAATTAATTAATTAATTAATTATATATATATAGTTGTTACTAATTGGTGTTTAATTAGTTTTGCATTATTATTTATATTTTGTTAAAGGATTTGTTTAGAAACACGAAAAATAACTTTGGAAAATCATTTTTCATATTTTCACGTGTTTGGACATTTAAGAAAAATAAAATGAAAGAAAATAATCATTATGATCAACATAAAAAATTCAATTTGACAAAAAATGTTTTCCTAGCCTTTTTGGTGGAAGACATTTTCTGAATTCTTTATTTTTCCATCGCTTCACTCCCTTCATATTTCAAGTTAATTTTCAAATTATTATCGCCACCACTACCACCACAAACACAACCATCATCACCACTATGCATAGATGTAGGATCATATGAGAACACTTGCTTAAGTGAGGACGTGAGAACAAATCGTGTGCATTCATCTAATATCTTTTAATGATCTATATTAGATTAAGTGTGTGCGAACGCGAATTAAATGTGTGCAAACACACTCATTGGAACCCTACTATATATGTGTGTGGGTGTGAGTGTGTATAATCCAAAATTGTATATACATATTTAGGAATATAAATTGTATTCCTAATACGTTAATATTGTATGACTGCAGTATTTGAAAGGAACTTGTGAATACAAAACAAGGTAATCAATTACATATATGTTAATATTGTGGTTCATAAAATAGAAATTGTGCATTTTTAAAAGGTAAATTGTGAACATTTAGTATAGAGCAAATACCAATTTCAGCCTCACGAGTATTAGGAAAATAACAGTTTTAGTCCACATGTTTAATTCTTACCAATTTTCATTCACGACTATTGTTTTAGTACCATTTTTTTTTATTTTTTTTTTATTTTTTTTTATCCATGACTATTGTTTTAGTGCCAAACTTTATCACGCTGGTAACCCCTCCGTTTAAGACATGCCGAAATCTAAAAGTTTAAGAGTATTTTTGTCATTTTCAACTTAAGATCTCAATTTGAGTGTGAATAAATGTATTTACGCTCTAAGGTCGATCCCAATTCGCAGTTATGATCTTTATCCTACCTTAATTTGAGGAGGAGAATTGTGAAGTGGGATCGATCTTATGGCTTAAATCACTTTATTCATGTTCAAATTTGGATCTTAATTTGAAAAGTACAAAAATGCCCTTAATAATTTCATATTTCGGCATATCTGAAATGAATGACTGACCGACGTGATGAATTTTGGCACTAAAACAATTGTCGTTGATGAAAAATTGGTACTAAAATAATAGTCGTGAATGAAAATTGATAGGAATTAAATATGTGGACCAAAATGCAATTTTGCTAATACTCATGGGACCAAAATTGATATTTACCCATTTTTTTTAATACCACCGAATCTATTACAATGTAATATCTGTTCATAACTATTTTCTCAATCTATATTTGCTCTGAAGTATAATTTAGTATATAATAATAAATAAATAATAAATTGTAAATATTTGGACCCACATAATAATTTGCGTTTGGACATTCTTGTCCAATATAATATTTTTTCCGACTCTCGCATTTTAAACCGTTAGATCAGGAATCGACGGCAGCCGCGCTTCCTACCTACAAGGACAGGCTACCGATTACCCATTGTGGCCTTCTGAGTTCCCAATTTTTACCTTTTCAGACCTTAAAACCCTAGTCTTCGACTCTCGCTTTGTCAGTGACTCTGCGCTCCTTGCTCATTCATCGGTCTCTAAAGGTATATCGTCGATATCTTTCTTTTCGATCTGCTTTTTGTATCTCTCTATATGCATAAATTGCTAAACTACAGTAATTAAACTCTGTGGTTTGAGAATTATGTGTGTATAACAAACGCATATTAAAATGTAACCCTATGTAGTGCCTAATTTTGTATCCATGTATTATTTGAGCCATTTTTTTTGGGTTGGGACATGTTTTTGCCTTATTTTTCTGCTGATTGATTGCTAAAGGAAAGTTGTGGGCTGTGTATGGATGGGTTGAATTGTGGGAGAGAAAATAGGAGGGAAAGGAAAAACTGGAGAAGAACATTTTGTTTGGGTGCGAGGAAACAAAATGAGAAGAGTTGGGAGAAGTGGAGATGGTGCATGTACTGAGAAGGGAGTTGAGCTACCTTATCTGTATAAGATGTATTAAGAATTGAAAAGCCAATGTTCTCCCACTTATCCATCATTCTCTTGTTCCAAGAAATTTTGAAAATTTCCACCATATTTTCTACTACCATATTCTTTCCCCCATTTTCCACACATCCAAATTGTTGGAGTTGAGAAACATTTATCTGTAAATGTGTGTTTATTATATAAGATTTTTGTTGTTTTTAAAGGGTATATATGTATATGTGTATATTGTTTCTTTTGACAATCTTATTTGATGTTGTTGGGTTCTGGTTGTTTCAGGATAAATATGAGTCGCTCTAGCAGGACTCTCTATGTTGGTAATCTTCCTGGAGATATTCGTGAGCGGGAAGTTGAGGATTTGTTTTACAAGGTATTCTCGAAAACATTATTCCTGTGTTTTGTCTAGTTATGTGAATTTTGTTCCTAGTAATTGTATTAGTTAATTTAATATGGAGTAGTTTTTTTTTTTCCTCTTCTCATGCTTAAGTCCAATGTCCTTTTTGTGTTTGTTATTACTAGTACTCCTAAAATAATTGACCACTGCGCTTGTATGTGTGTATTTGGCAGCAATGTTCACATCTACCATTACCCTGCACATATTCATTTCCTCTATATTTTCTGTTCATACTTGATTAGTCATTGGCTCCCCGACAAATAGATGTTACTTGCAGGAGAAAGATTCTTGATTTCCCGTTCTAGATTCCCTCATACCCTGTCAAATTTCATGCTTGTTTGTATTCTGAAAAGATATTTTACAGGTTCTATATCATTTTGGTTGACTTTAATTCCTGGCAATTTGACATGTTGTATTGGATGTAATTGCAGTATGGACCAATTGCACATATTGATTTGAAACTTCCTCCAAGACCTCCTGGTTATGCTTTTGTTGAGGTGATTTGAAACTGTTTACCTTTTAGTTTGTTTGTTCGTGTTTTCTAACTTATCATAATGACTTCCCCTTCTTTTACATAAATTACAGTTTAAAGATGCTCATGATGCTGATGATGCTATTCGTGGTCGTGATGGCTATGATTTTGATGGGCATCGGTTGCGGGTTGGTCAAGCATTATGATTATGTTGTTATGGATTAATTTGACTTGCTGGTTGTTAATGTTCTACTGTTTCTAATATGCACAGGTTGAGCTGGCCCATGGTGGTCGTGGTCACTCACTCTCTAATGATCGCCACAGTAGCCACAGCAGCAGTGGTCGAGGTCCTCGAGGAGGAGTGTCAAGGCGTTCTGACTATCGAGGTTTTTTTTTAAGCATAAAATTTCTAAATGTTTATTCTATTGTATTGTTCTGCTTATTGATCTCACTCATACTTCTTTGTTCAGTGTTAGTCACTGGATTGCCCAGTTCTGCTTCATGGCAAGATCTTAAGGTAAGTGGTCGTTATTGATGTTCTAAAGCTGTACATAAACTGATTCTGCATACTCACTCTATATGATGTCCAATTTACTGAATCTGCTTATTGCATGCTTGATTGCTTGCCATCTAGGATCACATGCGTCGAGCTGGGGATGTTTGTTTCTCCCAAGTTTTTCGTGAGGGGAGTGGTAAGATGACTAGGAACACCAGCAGCAACAAACTTAAAGATTGTTAAGTTCTTTAACACCTAGACTTATTTTTTGTGCTAATTGTTCTTTATGGTTTTGTTTTTAAGGGATGTCTGGGATAGTGGACTACACCAACTATGATGATATGAAGCATGCTGTAAGTTACAATTATTCCTTTTGCTTTTCTTTCTCATTTTATCTGAACAATCAGTCACCTCAATTTGATGTGTGGTATATTGAACTAATTTCTTCTGCCTGTGTTAGATAAAAAAACTTGATGAGTCTGAATTTCGGAATGCATTTGGACGTGCAGTAATATATGTATGGTCACATCCTATCTTTCATGCTTAGCTTTTTTTTTTTTTTTTTACGTATATACTGCTATTACTTCGCTATTAAAATCATACATGTTATCCACCTTGTAGGTTAAGGAATACAATTCAGGTCGCTCAAGAAGCCGAAGCCGCAGTCGCAGCCGGAGTCGTTCTTATTCAGGAGGAAAGAATGGCAGCCGTAGTCGTAATCGAAGCCGAAGTTATAGTCGTAGCAGGAGCAGAAGGTTGAATAATGTTCTATAGGGGTTTATTTTCGATTAGTGATCTTTTGAGTTCTAGCTATAATTAGGTTTTTGTGTTTATTAAGAGTATTCATCATCCTTGCAGCAAATCTCCTAAAGCCAAATCTTCTCGACGTTCAAGATCTCGTTCAAAGTCTCCATCACGATCCCCTTCTAGGTCAAAAGGACGCTCTATGTCAAGGTAACTATCTTTGGTATATATATTATTTTCCTTTTATTTGACTTCAATATTTCTTGTTTAAAGTTTCAGAAATTTCCATATGAATTAATATATGCATTTTAACTATTCTTATACATATGCACTAGATTTTTTTGATGTTTTTATGCTCTTTGTTTATAAATTCTGACTTGACTCTATTCTTTCTAGCATATCTTGAGTTTTTTATTTTGTCAACTATGTAGATTTTCTACCAATTAGTATATGCATTTTTAAAAATCTTTTGGCAGATTAGAGGGTTCTGAATATAAAGTCCTCAACAGTGATGAGTTTTGATCCAACAATTGCAAATTTTGACAATTTGTTTTCTGTTCCTTACCAAGGATACCTTCTTGTTGCAAAATACCCTTTGGTAAATAAATCTAAAAGTTTATACTTTTTTGATGCAGTAATTCTTTGCAAACAAATCCTTTCTAATCTGAGAAACTTGCTGTAATATACATAGTAAATAATATCTTATGCAGAGTGTATGTAATATGTCAGTCTTTTCCTACTGTTATTATTGTGCCTTGTGGATGTGTTGTGGCCTGCTGTTCTGCTGTGATCAACGCAAACATTTTGAACACTGCACATAAAAATAAACATTTTGGAAAATTGTTGTGACCTTGAAGTACTAGCCATGCCATGATGGAATAGGTCTCTGCAATCATCTGCTGGTTTGTATTTTCTACAATTGAAGTGTGCTTCTATACACTTGGGCATGACATGTGGAAATGTAGCAGATATCAACCTCAATGCTCTTTTTCACTTTGGTACTTCGTTTTGCTTAGATTTTTTTTACTTGGTTTCCAATTGCCAGCTATATGAATCTAGCACTCTTCACACTGTATATATAATATATATATACATATACACACACACACACACTTGTGGCATTCTAGACTTCCCTACTTCATGTGATGTTCTGTTTCATCAGCATTAACTTGTGGTCATAAATTGGAGAATGAAACTTCCTTTTTGGTGCTTCATGAGAGAATAGTCTTAAAGGAAAAGGGGAACTAGACCTGAAAAGGGTAAGAGAACCAAAAAGTTATGTTTTTGTTTCTGGTGCGAAAACCTCATATGTTTCTCAAGGAAATCCTCATTGTATTTTTCTCTTTGTAAATATGAAGTCACTGTTTTTTTTAGATCGGACTATCTGCAGCAATTTGTGGACTGCGTATTAGGAACTTGAGTGGATATGGCTCAATTGCCTACAACACTTTTGGTTGTTGAGGTATGGCGTTCTCTGAATGGCAGATTTGGAATCTTTAATGATGTCTCTCTGCTCTAATGAGCATCACCATGGGTGCTAGATTATGAACAAAGAAGACATGGATTCTGATGATGAAGCTGGATTTGGAACTGCTAATTGAAATTGGGAATCACCATCTATTTGCAGCAGTATATTTTTATTAGCTCCTATGCTGCTAGTATAATAAGGAACATATATCTGATTATCTGATAGCTTTTATTCTTTTGGTATCTCAAGCATTGGTGTTTTGTGGGGCATCTATAATCTTGGCTAAGAAGTCTTTAAGTAGGTAACTTATGTAGGTGAATAAATATCATATACTGCAGTCCTTACACTGTTAAATATTTTGATAATTTGATGTGGAAGTGGAATCAAAGGTGTTGGGTGAAAGCTCTAATGCAGATCATGTTGGGACTTAAATTGGGTTCTTTCTGGAAATTTTGCAGATCTTTATCAAGATCCAGGTCCCCAGTGCCTTCTGTAAGTTACATAAATACATATCGTCTTAACATGTATTAACACCATGGGATATGGCTGAACCACTATTTTCATATCTACCAAAGAAACATTTCATTAGGCTTACAGTTGTGTATTAAACTGCTCTATATTTTGAATAAATTGACCATATAGCGTAAGAAAGAAGTCAGTGAAAGCCCAAAGAAACGGAGTTCTAGCCCAAAGAAAAGGAGTTCTAGCCCAAAGAAACGGAGTTCTAGCCGCAGCCGCAGCCGCAGCAGGAGTTTATCCAGGTCCTCTTTTGTGGTGGCACTATTAATTCCAACAATTGAAGTAATATTCTCTGAAGCAAGCATTCTGATTGTAAATGTGTTTTGACAGGTAAGCTTGGGCGATGACTGATCATTTACACCTGAAGCTGTGAATGTGTGCCGCCACCCGATATCTTCTGTGTTACATTTCACAGATCAAGCAGAGTGAATTCTCTATATTGCCTAAACCTTTTTGAGCTTGTTGGACAATTTATGGCATCGGACCAGGTTATACTTTGCTATGTATTTTTCTTAAGAATTGCTAAATACTAATTCTTGGAGCTGTATTATTGGTTTAGGTATTGTATTTCTACATAATTGGTTGTTTGGATGATGACTAGTTTATTAATAACTCAAAAAAAATGGTTTTTCTAATTTGTTTATTTTGTATCGATTATCGAAGTTTTTGAATGGCCGTGTAGTTTTAACATTTTTTTTTACAAAATTTCTGACATACTAGCATGTTGATATGTTGAGACAACTACTTCGATTTTATTTTACTTTTGATATTACAGTAATAATATTATTTATGGTTCTCAGGTTTATTTATAGTTTTATGTTTAGTATTCAATTTATAAAAAATGTTATACATTTGGTCTTATAGATCTTTGGTGTTATTTTCGGTTGATCGGTGACATTTTTTGTCAACATGTAATTACAGAGAATTCATTTAGAGATTAAAAGTTAAAACTGAAACATTTTTCAAAACTCAAAGTAATAGGAATACAGTACTTATATCCACATTTAGTCCCACGATCAGGTCATTATGTCACAATTACATTTGGTACATGAGTTTTATTTTATTTTAGGTCACATTTGGTCCTTTCAATCAAGTGTAGAAAATAATTGAAATGTATTACGGAGTATACCTTTAGTTCAAAATTTAAGTAACGATACTTAGTATGATTTTGAGTTATAAATGTGATAATTCAGTATGATCTTGAGTTTTAAATGTGATAATTGTAGTCATTTTCTATTGAGAATTTGGTTAGAATGATTAAATGTGGTCAAAAACTAAAAGTCACATTTACCACTTAAAACTTGTTTTTAGCGGTAGGATGGGAGTTTGATTCTTGTCACAATCATTGAAGGTTTGGGGTTGGGTTGATTATTTTTTTTTATTTTTTTTTGTTTTGTTTTTTGCGTAGAAGTATATAATTTGGTGTTGAGTCTCGATTGACGTGATTTGCTTTTTCATGAGCATGAGGTAGGTTCATAGGTTCAATATATAATTTGGCACACCTTGAGTTATCCAAAAAAAAAAAGTCATGTATTGAATGTGGCAAAATAATTCTTCAAGATTAGATGTAAAAATAACTTAATACTTTGTAAAGACCGAAAGTGGGAATAGCTGAGTAGGAAAAAAAAAATCAAAATTAAGCAATGACACTGGCTATAGTTGAATGTAAAAAATAAAAAAGAATAAATTAGACTTTATCAATTATACAATAGCATCTATAATTTGTCATTCATTACTATCTAAAATTCTTTTTAGGAACACTAGTATTTTCACCCGTGCGATGCACGGAATGGAATTGTTGTAATATATTAAGAATATTTAAATCGATATATAATTATTTAAGAGTTAATTTCACCGGAAGTCGTTTATCTTTCCTGACAATTCCAAATTTAATCCTAGACTATAGTTATTAATTATTACAATTTATTTTATGTTACAACTCTTACGTTACTATTCTTACTATTATTATTAACACTTAATTACTTTTAGATATTATTATTACCACTTATATTATTATTATTATTATTATTAGTTTCTTTTCAAGTACTGTTAGTATATAATGGTCGTGAGGCACAATAATAATATAACTATAATTAAAAATTCTTGTATTGTATTCCGGAGTTAATGCCATTTTTGGTCCTAGACTTATTGAGACATTGACACTTTTCATCTCCCATAATAAAAATTGCCACTTTGTAGACACTGTTATTGGTCGTTGGACAATTTTGATCCTCCGTCAATGAAGCCATTTGTTGACCGTGCATTAGAAGGGTTTTTCTGTCTTTTTATGTCTTATTCTTCTAATCTTGTTTAGACCAGCGCTGCTGTGACTCCTGTGAGGCGAGATGGCGAGACTTGGCGGCTAAGTAGTAACCGTCGGTAGTGAGTAGCAGCGAGGTTCTTCTCCGGCGAGTTGTGGGTACGGTGGCGAACATACGAGGCAGTAACTCCTTCCGGCGACGGACCAGTAAGGCAGATCTGGCGGTGCAGCAACAGATCCGGCGAGGTTGGGGCCTTCACCAGTGGTTTTTGGTTCCGGCGAAGCAGAGAAGGCAGCAGGTCGGCGGACCCTCCTATGGTAAATAGCAGTTGTAGTTGTAGATGGCGTGATGTAGAATTTGCACCTGTAAGTCCTCCCTTCCATATTGACCACAAATATCCTTCCCATCTCTCTCTCTCTCTCTCTCTCTGACCACAACTACTTGGTGCACAACCTCAAAAACTCTACTCTGTTATTCTACCTGAAATTCATTGAAGTTTCAAGCTGAAAATGTGGAATCCGCCGCTCCCCGAAAATCGCATTGTCTGAGGTGTTGGAATGGACGGTGTTGACTTCCTGGCTGCTGTAGCTTCATTCCCCAACCCGGATGACAAAATTCGGAGCACCAGCTTTGAGGTTCAAGGAGGTGGTAACACTGGCAAGGCTTTGATAAAACCTGGATGATAAAATTTGTCTTGGTCTAAATCCAAGGATCATATCTAAGGTTGCTGATGACTCGCATGGCGAAAGAATACTTGATGAGCTTGAAAGGGATGGTGTTGATACATCTTTTATGGTGGTGTCCAAAGGAGGAAACTCAGCATTCACATATGTCATTGTTGACAACCAAAAAAAAAAAAAAAAAAAAAAAAACTCGCACGTGCATTTTCACTCCAGGATATCCACCCGTGATATCTGAGGGTCTACAAACCCAAATCAAAATTGTCTTCAGCGCTTGGAGTAAATATTGTCTACTTAGATGGAAGGTTGCATGAGACTACTTTGATTGTAGTGCAGGAGGCAAAGAGTAGGGGCATACCTATTATAGTTGATGCAGAAAGGTTAGGGGAGGGGTTGGGTGATATTCCTGACTTTGCTAGTTATGTTGTATGCTCGACAAAATTTCCACAGGCATGGACTAACGCCCTTTCTATTCCAACTGCACTTGTTTCCATTATCTTGAGATTGATGTCAAATGTAAAATTCGTGATTGTTAGTTGGGTGAAGATGGTTTCTTAATGTTAGAAAGGACTGAAGCGGATAACCTCAGTTTGAAGAAATGGATGTAGCAGTGACCAATGGATGGAGAAATACCATGATTAGATCATAAAAAGACAGAAAAACCCTTCTAATTCACGGTCAACAAACGACGTCATTGACGGAGGATCAAAACTGTCCAACGATCAATAACAGTGGCTACTAAGTGGCAATTTTTATTATGGAGGATGAAAAGTGTTAATGCCCCAATAAGTCTAGGACCAAAAATGCATTAACTCTTGTATTCCGTGAGTCACAATAATAATATAACAATAATTAAATATTGTTCAATTCTATATTCTTGTAGGATTTCTATTACCATCATTAATTATTCCCAAATTTACCATAATTAAATAATTTGACCAATTATAAAAAAAGATTATTAAATAATGCACGGGACAATTGTTTAATTAAAAATTTTAAAAATTCATTAACAAAACATAAGGTTCTCATAGTTTTTTTTAGAAACTCTTTAATAAAGTATTTTTTTTAGAAATTGGTGGGCCAAACCGCCTACGGCAGTTTGCGGTAGATAGATCTCGAAAAAATACGTGATTTCAAAAAAACATTTGTCCAAAACGGACAATGGAGTCAAAAGTTATGCCTTGCCGAACTTTTGACACTTTACAACTTTAAAAATAAAAATTAAAAATTAAAGGCCGGTTCAGCCGGCGAGGCGGCCGCTGAGGAGGCCGATTCTGGCCTTCCTCGCCGCGGCCAGCGACACGATTTTTGCAACACTGATATATAAAATAGATATAGATTAGAATATGAATAGTATTACACAATTTTATAATATTACAATAAAATTTTAACCCAGAATTATTGTAGAAATCAATATATTTTATTAGGAAGAGATATTTTTTAGGAATTGGGCGGGAAGTTAAAATTCCAGGATTTTGTTTTTATATATAGTATAGATTGTATTACACTATTTTATAATATTAGAATAGAATTTTAACGCAGAATTATTGTACGAATGGGAAAAGAGAAATCAATATATTTTATAAGGAAGAGAGATTTTTTAGAAATTGGGCGGGAAGTTAAAATTCTAGGATTTTGTTTTTATATATAGTATAGATTGTATTACACTATTTTATAATATTAGAATAGAATTTTATCGCAGAATTATTGTACGAATGGGAAAGTAGAAATCAATATATTTTATTAGGAAGAGAGATGTTTTAGGAATTGGGCGGGAAGTTAAAATTTCAGGATTTTATTTTATTTTATTTTTGTTTTTTTTTTGTTTTTTTTTTTGTTTTGTTTTTTTTTTTATATATAGTATAGATTGTATTACACTATTTTATAATATTAGAATAGAATTTTAACGCAGAATTATTGTACGAATGAGAAAGTAGAAATCAATATATTTTATTAGGAAGAGAGATGTTTTAGGAATTGGGCGTGAAGTTAAAATTTCAGGATTTTGTTTTTTATATATAGTATAGATATAGATTATATTACACTATTTTATAACATTAGAATAGAATTTTAAGGCAGAATTATTGTACGAATGGGAAAGTAGAAATCAATATATTTTATTAGGAAGAGAGATGTTTTAGGAATTGGGCTGGAAGTTAAAATTCGAGGATTTTGTTTTTATATATAGTATAGATTGTATTACACTATTTTATAATATTAGAATAGAATTTTAACGCAGAATTATTGTACGAATGCGAAAAGAGAAATAAATATATTTTATTAGGAAGAGAGATTTTTTAGGAATTGGGCGGGAAGTTAAAATTCCAGGATTTTGTTTTTTATATATAGTATAGATTGTATTACACTATTTTAATATTAGAATAGAATTTTAACGCAGAATTATTGTACGAATGGGAAAAAGAGAAATCAATATATTTTATTAGGGAGAGAGATTTTTTAGGAATTGGGCGGGAAGTTAAAATTCCAGGATTTTGTTTTTATATATAGTATAGATAGATTATTGTACGAATGGGAAAGATCAATATATTTTATAGGGAAGAGAGATTTTTTAGGAATTGGGCGGAAAGTTAAAATTTCAGGATTTTGTTTTTATATATAGTATAGATTAGATGTGCAAAGGGAATTGTATTACACTATTTTATAATTTTAGAATATAATTTTTACCCAGAATTA